CCATGGATGGGTTTAATGGTAAGATGAAGTAATGCATTGTTAACACATACACTGTGCTGTATGCTGGTATTCTTGAAGGGTCGTCTGACTCTCTTCTAAGTTGATTGACAAGGTGCCATCTTTGTTGAAATCTACAATGTAGCCTCAAAGGCTTGGTATGAATATGTATGTTTTTGTTTGAAATGTCTGTTTGTTTGTTTAATTTTTTGGGCTTGTATTTTCAGGTTTGTTTGTTATGCTAATGTGCTTCAGACTAATGATACATGTTACTCAATTCCTCTTTGTAAGGATAGTGTCACATGACTGTGGTTTCCATAACAGATAGAAAAAAGTGCTGAGACTAACATGTATCTTTTATTACCAACACATGTAGTTGTTATTACAGTTGAGACTGCAGTCAAAATATTGCTTTGCGTAAAAAGGCAAGGTTAGGGACAATATTTTTAAGCAGAATGGACCCTTTCATCTCATTTGAATCTACATGTAAAAGCGCTGATAACCTTTGTTAACAGCTCCATGTATTAAGGGCAAAGATCTTCATGGCCCCTTAACTTAGAGCATTCCAACAATGTACAGTAAGACAGGTTGGTTAGGCTGTCATCTGGTTGCACCAAAGTTCTGAAAGTACTACATGTACGGACATGCTGCACACAACAAAGCCATAGACATGTATATTGTAGTTCCCTCACAATTTTTTTCCTCTTTGTCCACTCATCATACTTTATCCCAAGTATCCATTGTTATAGCACCCACTGTGTGTATGACAGGCTGTACTTGAGTCAGTTAGTCACAAGGACTTTAAATACATTGCTGAGGTAATTTCATCATTTTTGCAGGAACTCTATTTGCCTATGGGCAGACATCATCTGGAAAAACATATACCATGATGGGAGATCAGCGAAATGAAGGTGTCATCCCCAAGGCAGTTGGCGAAATATTTGATTATATTGAAAAGGTATATTACAAAATTGAATAATTATACAAAGTTTTAGCAGGATAGGAGAACTAG